TATCCCATGAGGGTAAAACGAGGATACAAAATAACATCATGCTACATCCTCTTTTCAAGTACAAAAATAAAACCCCTACACAGAGCAAGAGATATGGGGTGGGGCATAAGGGGAGGGGAGGCTACAGGGGTAGGAGAAAGAACAGAGGGAGATTGCCAGCAAAGGTAGTGATACTCCATGGGCTATGCTGGGTGACCGTGCTCCCCCTCCCCCATAACTGAACTTATCTGGTGTTTTCATGTACCCCAGGGTCCACTCTTTTAGAAAATGCATGTAAACAGAAAAACACATTTGGGTCTCACTGCCCCCAGGGACCCCTATTTGACCACATCTTTTTTCTATTGTGACCATCAAAATTAGGGGGACATAAAACTTAAATGCCAATAACTTTGCTATAAACCAACCAAATTTTACAAACAAGGTATCAGCAGATTCATATTGATTAGTTCTTCGATTTACATGCCGTTTCATTAAACAAATATGTGCTTGATGATGTCATCAGGGGGGTCAAATGGTCACAACCCCAACAGAAGATGAATGTTTTCTTATTTTTATCTGAGTTTACCACACAGATCCTAAATATTCAACTTACTTAGCCTTTTCATGCACCTTAGGATCCACTTATTCAAAAAAATGTCTGTTAACAAATTAAAAGTTGGTGGGTACTACTCCACAGGGACCAGTTTTTGACCACACCCCTACTCATTGTGTGCACAGTTTAGAATTTCCAGGATGTCAAACTTACATGTAGATTCACCATGTCAGAATAAAATGTCATAAATCTGGTGTTAAATGATAGATATTGACTTGGTCTCTTACGTAGATATGCTTTTGTTGATTATTTATGCAACAGACTATGTTACCAGCCAGGGGTTTAAAATAACAAATTTCAGAATGATGTTATGTCCATCTGTGCGGTCTTTGGCTTGCTTCCAGACAGTTCACAGACAGAAGTGAGAGGAGGGATGGTGGGGGCAGAGCATTCAGTTCACATAACATCCAAGGAGAGTTTCAAACACCTAGCCTTCAAGGCCACATAGAGGGGGAAATGCTGAATCAGAATCACAGTTGTTTTGGGAACAGGCTGACACAGAAGATTTGCTTGTCACCTTAATTTCTTACCAGAAACTCTCAATGGCGAAAATTCCAGACAGCTGAATTTTGTTGGTCATATCTTGTGTTACACTGAGCACAACTTCTCCAAGATCTATACATTTCCACCAGTGGGCTCAGAAGCTACATGTGGCCTATGAGCCCCAGTGAGGATCTCATCCAGATTGCGGTTCACCTCCACCAGTGTTTGAGTCTGAGTGTTGACAGCCTAGCAAATCCCATCACGTGAGGCCAGCAGTCTCCACAGGGCCCAAATAACTGCCAGAAGTTTGCAAATTTCATGATATGACAGATATCCACRAATCAACAGAAATCCTGCTATCATTAATCCAATTATCCAAACGTTTTTGACTTCCTCAATCGACAATGGAGCCAGGCACATTATCCTCCGCTCACCCCAGGAGTCCAGAATGAGCTCTGCTGCATATGTTTCATCAGGACAAGTAGACTCTCCTTTGCCCAGTTTCAACGTAGAAAAAATTTGATTAATAGTGTTGAGACCAGATCCATAATTGGTAGTTTTGGATGAGATGTAAAGGAGGCTCCAAAAAGCAGCAAAGCAGGGTAGATAAGGGGAGGCTGAGGAGAGAGGGAAAAAGTGTCCGCCTTTGCCAAGAGCAAAAAAGAGAAGCAAAAAAAAAAAAATGCTAGTAAAACTTTTTTTAAAGTATTATTGCACCACAGCAGAAAATTTGTAGGCATTCAGTTGATGACGTGCAGATGACATGCATTCAAAGTGCACTCAGTTTAACAAAGTTTTGGTGGTTTGCATTAATCTGGTGGTGGCGGCCTGGGGTGATATCAAATCCTGGATGATTATCCCAGTCTGCCTCTGAGTCTATAAATAGTGAGCCTCATCTCTCTGAAAGACAAGAAATGGAAAGAATTAGGATGTAGAAACACAAGGTTCCCCAAACACTCAAGTCTCACAGACAGTTCTGGAGTTTGGGAAATGAACTGAACTTGTATACTGCTTTATCAAACGCGAACTCCAAATTACATTACACTAGACATTCATACACAAATACAGACATGGATGGTGGCAAGCTACATTGTATCCACAACTGCCGTAGGCTACACTGTCAGAGGTGAGGCAGTGCTTTTCAGCCTTTCATCGTGTAAAGCGTTCCAATGAAGTCTTCACAAGTATAAAATTTGAGTTTAACATTTTCCAGGTCTGGATAAGTAAAAAAAAAAACAGTGTCTGAAAAAAAATGTGTCTCCAAATCTCATTGCCTATTTCATTTTTTAAATATACGAATTAAATTAAGAAAATGCTGGAATAAGCAAGGTAATTTTAGGGCTTGCCACATCAAAAAGAATAAGAGAACAGAGGAAGGCACTGAATTTATTTGAATGGTGGCTAGGGATGGGCGATATGTTGGGTGCGATATACCGTCAAAGACATTCACCATGGTAATAATTTGTCATCTCGCGATAAAATCAATAAATTCCCATTGCGTGCTGCCAGGCTTTACATGCCTCCTCGCCAGGTTAAGGTTCGTTTGTTTACTCAGAGAGGACGTCGACGTGCGGAGCATGCGATAAATGGTAAATGGACTGTACTTATGCAGCGCTTTTCTATCCATCCAGGACACTCAAAGCGCTTCACACTACAATCTGTGTCCTCACTTACCCATTCACACAGCACTCTATTAGGTCTCTACAAAACTAGCATGTACAATCATCCATGAAGACTAATCAGTGCCAATCACATTCATACACTGATGAGACACACATCAGAGGCATTGGGGTGAGGTGTCTTGCCCAAGGACACAACAACTGAGACAGCTGGACGAGGGATCGAACCGACGACCTTCCGGTTCCAGGACCAGAAGCCATAGCCATAGCCATAGGACCCCTAGCCATTCTGCCGCCCCCTGTGCTAATATAGTAAAGCTCAAAAGCTATCGTAATGACTCTCAACGTGCAAAAACGCAGTCATACGTCATCTAAAAACTCTTTAGAGTTCAACAATATGTTAAAAAAAACAACAGGACGGGGCAGCTTCATCTTGCTGGATCCACAAAAAAACAGCTGCTCCGTTATCGAACATCAGGAGTGCCACATTAAATAATTAATTGGGAAATAAATAATTTATTAAATAATGACAAATATAGTTAATTAATTAAATGTGTAATTAAATTATTAAATGAGTCATTAAATAATTAATTCAATTATTACATAAAATAAATATTTAAATAATGAAATATGCAATTAAATAATTAAATGTTTCATTAAATAAATAAAACTACCCTTTGAAATATGAATTTAAATAATTAAACATCATTTTAAAGAAAAATTTCAATTAAAAATATATAAATAATTATTTCATGTTCCAGCAAGCGCTGTTGTCATGAATTATTTAAGACTGTTAGACCCAGCCATCAAACTCAGTGGGTGGGACTAACCTCGGATTTACACTACATGCGCCTCCGCTCTGCTGCGCTGCGCAGTTCGCAGCTGTTCGTTTGTGTRGCAATTTATACAGCCTCCGACTGCTCAATTCCACTCCGGTCTGACACACAGAGGAGGAGCATGTGCAGGAAGATCACGCGATAAATTCAGTGATAAATGTGGAAGTCAGAGCAAAAAATAATTAATTCTGTGAAAGATGAACTCCAAACACAGTCTGGTGGTCTGGGGTGCCATGTCAGCTGCTGGTGTTCGTCCACTGTGTTTTATCAAGGGCAGGGTCAATGCAGCTAGCTATCAGGAAATTTTGGAGCACTTTATGCTTCCGTCTGCTGAAAAGCTTTATGGAGATGAAGATTTCATTTTTCAGCACGACCTGGCACCTGCTCACAGTGCCAAAACCACTGGTAAATGGTTCACTGACCATGGTATTACTGTGCTCAAATGGCCTGCCAACTCTCCTGACCTGAACCCCATAGAGAATCTGTGGGATTTTGTGAAGAGAAAGTTGAGAGATGCAAGACCCAACAGTCTGGATGAGCTTAAGGCCACTATCGAAGCATCCTGGGCTTCCATAACACCTCAGCAGTGCCACAGGCTGATTGCCTCCTTGCCACGCCGCATTGAAGCAGTCACTTCTGCAAAAGGATCCCSGACCAAGTATTGAGTGCATAACTGAACATAATTATTTGAAGGTTGAATTTTTTTTGTATTAAAAACACCTTTCTTTTATTGGTCGGATGAAATATGATCATTTTTTGAGACAGGGGTTTTTGATATTTCTTTACTTTTTTTGCCAAAATCATCAATATTAAAAGTATAACAGGCTTGAACTACTTCAGTTGGTGTGCAATGAATCTAAAATAAATGAAAGTTCAATGTTTATCAGTACATTACAGAAATTAATGAACTTTATCACAATGTGCTAATTTTTTGAGAAGGACCTTTATGTTGAAACTATATCGCTGAAGTCTTTTTTGAAACTTCTGATTTCAAAATAAAATCCACGTGTATTGTGTGTCCACACAAGCTTCATCTACATGTTGCCATCTGCTTCCCAAACAGAACGATACATTCTGACATTTGTTTAGAAATATATCCATATATTTTTTAATATAGCTGCATTTTCGACATTATTCCGACAAATTATTACGCCTGATAGTGTCTTATTTTGAAAATACAGATGTTGTGCTCATTCCTCTTCCTGTTGGTGCAACGTAATCTTTAAAAATTGACTCTGGCACCGCTCCGGCAGAAATAGGATTGGATCTAATTTTGCTGGATCGCCGTCCGCTCACCGCCGCCGTGTGGAGCCAGTGTAAATACTCTCATTGATTATAATGGGTGTGTATTTGCTACGGAGTTTGGATTGGAGTGGAGCGGAGCCGGAACGCATGTAGTGTAATTAGGTGTAAGGCTGATCCTGTGAAATTCCCTGCGTTGGTCTGTTTATGTTGTGTTCAAACATGGTGGCTCCGTCCATGCAGGAATGAGCTCTTTTCTGAGCTGATTAGATATTTTAGACTAGGCTAACAATTTTAGAGGCTTGAGTAGTTTAACCAGAGTTTGTAGTAGATAAATTAGAACAGTTTATCGAAGTCAGTGGAGTTATTTTTGCACTCAAACCAAAACATCAACCCCAGATTGCAGCTTTCCAAGTATTCCAGTGGTTCTATTTCGTGTAAGCTCTGCCCTCTAAGGCTATTGCTGATGGGTATCCCTCRGCGCCCCGCGCGCATTCTGAAAAACCAATAGTCCATGCCCCCGTCCCGTGGGGCCCCACCTTGGTCCTATAAAAGCCGGTTGGACCAATGTACGTCTCCCTCATTTTTCTTCAGCTTCGGCATTCGACATGTAACCATAGAAGACGCCACATACATGTAAGTGCTTTGATTCCTTTTATATCGACATGGAATTCGATTCTGGCGCCACCGAGCTATGATCCGTGTAGCCGTCCTTTCCAGGCTGCTCGGGGTTCGGTTTTCCCCGGCACAACCCGTTTTTACTCCGGTCTCCTTCCTCGGAGCAGGTTGATCGTGGTTGGCTAGCATATATTTTTCCCGTGGGTGTTGCTGCGATGCGGTATTATGCTAAGCTAAGGCGCCGGACATCTTCGTGCTTCCACATGGACTCAAGGAGTATCAGTCCATGCGGGTTTTTATTCTTCATTATGGTCTGAGCTATCTCCCTCTGTGGAGGGTGGACCGAGCTAGCCATGTTTTTTCCCGCCAGGGACACGGTGATAAACTGGCTAAGTCAGTTAGCTACCTACTTCCTAGCCAGCTAAGTCGGGCACTATCCCTTGCATTGGACTTGGAGAAGTCCCCGCTTTCACTGACGGGATACAAGTGAATTACCCCCGACTTTTGGAAGGACCCCTATCCCCGCTTCTCGGGGGAGAAGCTGGGGTCGGTTGTGCTGCTGCTTGGGGTAGCTTCAAGCCTTGGAGACGCTACCAGACCATTCGAAGGCCGTTGCTAGTCTGCTACTATCACGGATGTGTTAGCCGCTACTAGCTCACTCGTTACACAGATGTGGTAGCTAGTAGTTAAGGCCTTCAGACATCGATGCTTCCAGCCAGGACTGGACTGGAAGGTTTTTCAGACTTTTCGGACGATGCGCTTCTCATCTTCGGCATGGTCTGAGCTATCTTCCTCAGGGGACGGAGGCCCAGGCTAGCGGAGTTTCCCACTGGAGATCACGGCGGCAAACTAGCTAAGCCAGTTAGCCACCTAGCTAAGCTAAGCAGGGCGCTATATCTCAGCTTGTTGCGCCGAAATTGGACCCCGCTTTTCAGTGGAGAAGCTGGAGTCAGGGTGCTGCCGCTTGGTGTAGCTTCTAGCCATGGACGTACTATGTAGCTTGACCAGAGCAGTTGCAGACTGCTGCTAGCTGGCTTGTAACACATGATGTGTTAGCTGCAATTGGCTTGCTCGCAACACGGAGGTGTTAGCTAGCTGGGATAAGGCATTCAGTGGTCGGCGCTCCCAGCCAGGACTGGACTGGGAGCTCATCCAGACCATTTAGCCAAGACGGGTTTTGCCCCTAGCATGGAGATGCTAGTTACAATGCTAGGAGTTGCTTACTCCAAGCTGTGGCCTTCGGTCTCATTCCACGCGGACGTGACAAAAGTGGAGGGGGTGACTGTCTTTGGTTCCAGCCGGTCCCAGTACTGGAATCTTCGTCCTCCATGGTCTTCGCCACTGAGGCGGAACGGTCTGCTGGAGGGCGACCTTTCTCTCACAAGCAATACACCAGCAGCTTGGCAGCTGGGCTGACCGGTCCCGTCATTGTGCGGCATAGTCAGGTGCTGCAGCCAACAACATCACTCTCCAGGCCGTCAACTTTTCAAAAAAAAAAAAAAAACAGCGGAGAGCGAGGCGCGACGGGACTTCAGCACAGAGGCCAGCACGAGTTTGAATCTCTGTGCTGTTTAGGCCGGGTGTG